GGCGCCTATGCGTGATATCAAATGCTTCCGCAGATTTATAGTATTACTATAGCATTTCACCTGAGCATTGCGAATCACGCGTGTGGCCATGATAAGCGCTAAATGAATGACAGGCTTTCTGTTGTAACATCGCGCAAGGTAAATAAGGGTGACATCTAGTGGAGAAGACTAATGATAAGATTCACGTTAATCAGATCTTATTTTAAATTTGTGCTGAAATAAATACCGGAAAAGATCGATTCGCGGCTTTTGAGAATCGATATCGAATCTACGTCATTTAAAAAAAAAAACGATTAATCGAAAAATCTATTTTTTTGCCCAGCCCTAGTTCTATCCTACACAATTATTCGCATATATAGTCTATTTTTCCACTTAGAAGCTTATTTTATGCACCGAATTTCTTGATAAATAAATAAAATTAATGGTTAAAAAAATGCACTTTAGAATCGATATTTTTATGTGAGGATCGATCCTTTCGATATAATATTAGTATCGAAAGTATCGATACTTAAGGATCTATCCGCCCATCCCTAGTATCAATATGTATACAATAATACATTTTCGACTAATAATGTCTTCTATGCTATATTGACAATATTGTGATTTTCAAGGGTAGTGAAGCAGAATTAGAATTAGAATAGAATTCTGTACATGCTGATATACAATTTAGTCTTGAATTCAGTCGGTCGTTGATACATTTCTTAGATACATCGGTTTCAGTTAATGGTATACTCTTTACTTCTCCTTATGTGAAACCTACTGATAAAAACATACAAAATCTCTAAAACGAAGTTATACCCTATAGTCAATTTTTACAATTACAAAGAATCTGTAGCAATATAGGTGATTTTGATCGACAAGCTGAGACTTTATAAAATCAGTATATTCAAAGACAATATCCAAAAGGATGGCTAGATTCAGCCTTGGAGAGAGTGTGTTCTTTTGATCCTTCAGCTAATAAAGTTTCAAGACACAGTAATTCCTTGCATATCATTTGTTGTAATTCTGTCATCATTTACTCAACCTCAAGTTGTTCCAAACCTGCATGAGTTTCTTTCTTCTGCTAAACAAAGACGAAGATATTTTGAGAATGTGGGTAACCAAAACAGTTGACGGTAGCCATCGACTTCCATAGTATGGACAAAATAACGATACTATACATATGTTTGGTTAAATATCTTTATTTGTGTTCAACAGAAGACAAAAATTCATACAGGTTTAGAACAACTTGAGGGTGAGTAAATGATGACAGAATTTTCATTTTTTTTGGGTGAACTGTCCCTTTAAGAGTGCTTTTTTGTCCCACTTAAGCAGAACTTAAGTAGTTCTTTACATGCAATTTCATGTTTAAAAGTCACATCAAAATAAACATTCTTCTTTAAAGCACAATAAAAGATTATTAAAATGTACTTTAACACTTTTACAAAACAATGTGCACTTTTTAAAAGTGTGTCAAGAAACATTTGAGTGTGCTCTCTTTAAGTACACTCAAGTGGCCTTTTATGTAATTCACAGTAAATTTTCTGCAAATACAGTTTTTCTTTTTTTTTCTTTTTTAGGATTTGAAGTACACTACAAGTGCACATTCAATGCATTTAAGCACAGTTCTTTTTCACAAAGGTTAGCTGGCCAACAGGTCCTTGTAGCCTCACAAATTGCCCAAATCCCTATAAAACCATCAAAAGAGACTAGTGTAAGCACCTCAACCTGGCTAGAAGACTAGCTAACCAAGTCTAGTGCAGCTGTTGCTCCAGCAAGGACAGTCTCAACACCAATCAGAATGGCTAACAATAAAACCACACATTGCGGAAAAAAAAATCAAATCTGCAAATCTGCTGATTCAGGCCCAGACCAGTAATATAATGCAATCTAAATGAGGACTGGCAATGCAACTGTCACATTCTCGACCCCTTTCTTGTTTTTCCTGCACAATGATCAAAGCTATTAAAAGCAGCCCTGCCAATAGTAGGAAATACCACAGCTGAAGTGAGCTGCCTGAGTGGCTAATGGTGATTATGCTTGATTTAAGCCGAACGTGTCATTAACTAATCGAGTGGTATTCTCCCAGTCTGAGGTCTGCCAAGTTCTGTCTCTTCAAAGGAGCCCATTATACTTCAAGAGAGAGTAAACAGCTGGTCCCTAAGAACCATGCTCTAGAGTTTAAAGAAACATCATCTATCACTCCGCCAGGCACCTGCAGGTGTGACCTTGCTCTCTCAACACAGGAGAACGATCTCCCAGGCTGCCCTCTTCAGGCTGATGGCGAGGTCAAATGGAAAGCATCATGGGATATCTATGAATTGACTTCAGGGGGATACACAGTTTGTGACATTCAAGGTTTAGGTCAGAAACACACTCTTCAACTGTTGCTCTGCCATGACAGTGGTTGACCTTTCAGGAGAAAATTGACTGTAGAAGAAGCCATGCTATGCTAATGGATGCTATAGCATATAGTATAAAACATATCTGTGTATCTAAAAAAAAATAAAAACTACTCTTTAAAAATTTAGTTAAAAATCTTTTTTTATTAATTGTTTTGACTGATTTTTCAGAAGCAGCGACTTGAGAAGCAACACTGCATAACATATAAAGAGATTTTCAGAGAATGTATCTAATACATTGTTTATCACTCGTTTTATATCTTATGCAGTGTTGCTTCTCAAGTAATAATTAAAAAATAATCAAAATAATTATTAAGAATAGGATTTTTGCAGTGTATGCTTGTACAGGTGCATCTCAATAAATTAGAATGCCGTGGAAAAGTTAATTTATTTCAGTAATTCAACTCAAATTGTGAAACTCGTGTATTAAATAAATTCAATGCACACAGACTGAAGTAGTTTACGTCTTTGGTTCTTTTAATTGTGATGATTTTGGCTCACATTTAACAAAAACCCACCAATTCACTATCTCAACAAATTAGAATACTTCATAAGACCAACAAAAAAA